AAATATTTATTTTATTTCAATACATAGAATGTATATAGAATTATTATTATTATCTAAAATATTAAATAGTGATATACAAAAAAAATAATAATGATAATAATTTTTTTCGTACGCCGATAATAATAATAATAATATAAATAAATAATTTAATAAATTTTCAAAAAATTTATTGTCTTCTATATAAATTCTTAATTAATTAATTATTATCATTATTTAAAAGTATATTATAAATTCGTTTAACAAAATTATTATTATTATTAATAATATAGAAATAATTTTAATAATATAATATTATTAATAAAAAAAAAATTTTATTATATTTATTAAACATTATCGATAAGAACCCCCAAAAAAAAAAAAAGGAAAAATCCTTATAATAACTACGTTTAAAATTTATAATAATAATAATCATTATTATTATTAAATATACAAATATGTTTAATTAAATATATATAATATTATTATTTGTGTATATATATATATATATATATATATATAAATCTATTTAAAAATTATTGTCAAATTCACATAATATAATAAAGCAATTCGTATTTTATTGTCATAAACTTTTTTTTTTATTAAATGTATAAGTTAAGTATAATAAGAGATACAATTTAAATTCTAAAAAATATATATATATACAAATTCTTCATCTAAAAAAAAAAAAAAAAATGAAAAAATTATCATTATTATTATTATTATTATTATTATTATTATTATTAAGAATATAATAATTATTGTCACGATTTAGTCTTTTTAAAATTTGTATAAAGTTTTATTATTGTCAAAAAAAAATTTTCTTTTTTTTTTCTTATTATTATTTATAATTGAAATTTTTTTTTTAAAGAAATGCGTTTAAAAATAATAATAATAATGATAATAATAAAAGTATTTGTTTTTGTTTTTCAATAAATAAATCATTTTGTAAAAAAAAAAAAAAAAAAAAAAAAAATTAAAATGTCGTCGTCGTCGTCGATTTTCACCGCGTCATACCGATCAAAATGGCGGATATGAAAACAATCACAATCAGACTCGTTTGTGATGATGTTTTCATGGCATCGTTGAGCTGTGGCGATTGAAATCCTGGATCCACCACGTGTATTTTCCAACCCAAATTATTATGAGTGTAACACTGGAAAATATTTACGTCGTTAAAAATTGTTTCTCCGTAATAATAATAATAATGATAATAATAATGATGATGATGATAGTCACCTGATAATAAACCAAATCCGGAGTGTCCGGAGCAACCGTCCAATTCAAATAAGCCGGTTGTCCTTCGTCGCACATCAATCTTAACGTTTTTATATATTCTTGGAATGTTGGCGTGACTGCGGATTGATCCACCGTTTTATGAGCCCATTCGCAATAACGTCCGGCTTGAAAGTGGAGAATATTTTTTTAGTTTAAATAATTTAGAAAACAAATCAAAATTATCCTTCGGGAGTTCGCGTTTATACTTACCGGCCGTCGGATATGGATAACCTTCCGCATCGTAGCTCACTCCGGCAAAAACTCTTTGCCGCCTTTGTTGATCCTCTCTTTTCTGACCGAAACCTCCTTCTTTGCTGTCGGTTATGTAAAACGGATGATACCTGGCAGGATTGGTTCTGTCGTTGCCTCCCTCGACCACGAAAGTGTACGTTTGACCTCTTTCGACGTATACTTCTGGTATGAGTTTGTCGTTGAGCCACCAAGCAATGCCCCAAGAGGGATGCCCCGTGATGGGAGTGTATCCTCTTTTACCGCCGGTGGGACCGATACGAACCGAAAAAACTTTTTCACCGATTATGACATTTGCCGGCCAAGGTTTGATGACTTCTTCGTCTCGGACGTTATACAAAGACGTTGTGCAAGTGTGATCGAATCTGCTGCTGAAATCTATTCGAATATCATCTGGAAAATTTATATGAAAATTAAAATACTACTTTTTTCCCCTTTCCCTCTCCCCCCCTTTTTTTTTTTTAAATTCGAGAAAGAAACCTGTCGTTTTGTCCGGTATTCCGTGAGCGTTTGCTTCTTTTCTACTGTTTAACGGACCTATGGCGGCGATGACGTTAACTTCTCTATCCCGCGGTATGGGTCGATCGTTGATAGGTTCATTGGTTTGAAGCAATCGTCGATAAACAATCGTAGTGACGCCATTTTTCTTTTCACCGCTTGCTAAAACTATATCGTTTCTTCCACCGATCCTGGTATCGGGACAAACTCCGTTTTTTCCATCGCACTGAACGATGACAAAAATGAACGGGAAAAATTCAATGGGAATTTAATTCAAATGATTTTCAAACAAACAAAAACCATACCTGAGCAGTGGCGGACATGTAATAATCTTCTGCTCTGAACGCTCCTCTATCCGTGTCGTAAAAAGCGACGACAACGTCACCGCCCACCATCGAGCTTCGTCCGGATTCACCGGACAATCCGAAAGACATGTATTGGTCATCTCGTATTCTAGCTGCCAATTGTATTTGTACCCAATCCCCTTGCAATTCCCACTGAACTTGAAGACGTTCGTCCAATAATTCTCTACAATTTGAATACCTCTCATGTTTGGGCTCGGTTGTGGTTGTCGTCTAAAAACAAAAAAATTGTACGTCGTATAAAAATTATTAAAAAAAAAACCGTTAATTTTTTGCTGTCGTTTAAGAATCCATCTTACCGGATTATACCACCAAGGAGGCTGCATTTAAATATAATAATGCACCATCATTATTATTATTATTACTACAACTCGTTCGAAATGGATTTGAAAAAAAAAAAAAAAAAAAAAAACTCACCGTGATTTTCGTTTGTCCAACAGCCGGAGGTACGTCCAAATCTTTGGGTATTAAAACGTGTCCGAAATTATGTTTGTATTCGACGCACCAAACAGCCAACCAATCGATATCGTAAACGGTCAAATTTCCAGGCAAAACAATTTCAATGTCTTCCCCTTGATATCCTCTCAACGGTGAAAGGCTGAACAAAAAAGGAAAAACTCATCATTACACGTCATCTCAACCATCCTTACGAACCTTCTTTTCGACAAAAGAAAACAAACCTTTTCATTTCGTTGGGTACTTTGATTCCAAATGGCGTGGGTTCGGTACCGTTACCGACCCAAAAATAAGCATCGGGACCGGCTCCGTCGTAGTGAAGATTGGGAATGTAAAACGTTTTCGAATCCAATATCGTTATGTTTCCACTCCTGAGACCGTGTGCCAACCTTTTAAATTCTGGCAAAAGTCTCGCTTTGGGGGGCTCTAAATTTTTCGGAAATAAAACTTCTCCGAAATTAACCTGGAAAATTTTTTAAAAAATCACGTGATTATTCTCTCTCTCTCTCTCTCTTACGTAAAACATCGTATTCTTTTTTTTAGGTTTCGTACGATTTCCCAACCACGCGCGCACAAAAAAAAAAAGGAAAACTGAATTGGTGAAAAATCAAATCACCGTGACTGCGAGGGGTTGTTATATTTGTAACAAGAGGGTTGATAAATGTATAACAATGATAATAATAAACCCGGGCTTTATTATATAAAAATCTTTCACGCCTTTATGAATTTATTTTCACACACACAGACTGGAAACGGATATTAATGGGGTGCGCGAGGGTTCTCTGAAAAAATATTTAAGAGAAGAAATATATATATTTTTTGTCAATTAAAACGACTTAAAATATACGATTAAAAATTTTTGCTACAACAACAGCAAATCCGACAGCAAATTTTGCTGAACGGAATTAACAAAATCACACTCTTAAATCATTTAAATAACTTTCTTTTTCATTGTCTTACATTATTATTATTATTATTATTATTATTATTATTATTTTCTTATGCGGATCCCCATCATTTTTACTTTTTAAATTTCTTTTTGAATGCGCGGGGGGGGGGATGGCGGTATGATTTAATGCACGACCCAACGATTTCATTCCATGGAGAAATCGAAAAATTTTCATAACGTCGCACGCGCACACACACAACCATTGTTTATTGTAAACGTTTGACATTTAATTATGTCCTACACTACCATAATATCATTTATGTAAATTTAAATTATTCATTCTTTTTTTTTTGTAATGTCGAAGGCGTTTCATCTTTGAAAACTAAAAAATAAATAATTGCACGTTACTTTTTTTGTTATTCTCTCTCTCTCTCTCTCTCTCGCTTATTCACCATCGACTTTCATTAAAATTATTATTATTATTATTATTATTACGAATCCACATCATCATTCATTTTTGAAAACATGCGGAAAAGAAAAAAATGAAAATCAAAACTACCAACGTGAAAAAAAAAATTAAGAAAAATTCTTTTCTACTAATTAAAAAAAAACTTCAATCGAAAAAAAAATTTTTTAAATTTCTTTAAAATAAACGAGAGGGAGAGAGAGAGAGAGAGAGAGAGAGAGAGAGAATACTGAGGGGGTGGAGAGGGAAGGGGGGGGAAAGGAAAGTAAAAATTTTAATGTAATGAAAGGTTGCGAATTAAAATTAAAAAAAGGCTTTTTATTCATACAAGTAAAAGGATTTCCCGAAAATAAGACGATTCGAAAAAAAAATTAATTTTTTTCTTCTTAATTAAAAGGGTAATTTAACCCCCCACCTCTCCTCCTTTCCCTCCCCTATAAAAACCGTAACCATGGCTTTCCGTAGTAGCAGAATATATATTTTTTTATTTTTTTTCTTCCGCCACGCGTTAACTTGATTGATTTTTCCAATTTCTCTCTCTCTTTCTCTCTCTCTGAAGTAACATTTTCATTACACGGTCATGTCGTACCAACGGAATAAAAAAAAAAAAAAAAAAGTAGGGATATTTTTTTTTTTTTTTTTTTTTAAAAAGAGAAAAACCGAACGAGGAAAAGAGAATTCATAAATGAACTTTTCAAACGTTTGATTTTAATTCGCGTTTAGAGTTTTCTAAGAGTTAAAATTAGCTACGTAAGTAACACGAAAGTTTTGAGCGCACGGGCCAAAGCGCAGAACCCAATCCTGGGGGTTGTATCCAGGGGTAACAGATCACCAACACCGTCACTACCACCACCACCACCGCCACCGCCACCACCACTACAACAACCATTACCAATACCATCAGTATTTTCAGGATCCTGCAACATTTACTACTACTACTACTACTACTACTACTATTACGACCTACGCTCCTACTGCTTTTGTCTTACTACCACAATTTACAAAAATTTTCAAAATTAAAATGGCTGCCATAATTTTCCACCGCCTTCTCCGCCTCCCCCCCACCATTTTTTCATTTCATTTTAAATAAGAACGAAAACGTTAAAAATTAAGAAAAAGAAAATTTTTTAAAAAAAAGAAATTGATAAGCTGATTATAGATAAGACATACATTCGTGCAAATTACATATTTTGGAAAAGAAAAAGAGGAAAAAATTGCAAAAAGGAAAATTCAAAATTTTTCCGTAAATGATTCCGTAAATATTTACCGAAAAAAAATAAATAAATAAATGGGGTTGAAACCCTTATATATATTTTTTCCTAATGTTTTCCTTTACTCATCATCATCATTATTAGCTCGTCATGTCATATGATATTATCATGTTAAAACGCTTTTATCCATTTTTACATGTGCGTCGTCGTCGTCACCACCACCACCATTTTGTTCTCGTTCTATTCATCAACTTCCAACCGATATTTAAGCAACAGAAACAGGAAAAAAAAAAAAAATTCAAAATTAATTTTAAAAGCTTATGTCGTAATATAAAGGGAAAAAAAGATAGATAACTAAAACAAATGATTATGATGATGATGATGATGATCCCATGCTTAGTTTACTTCCCCCTCGAGTATTTGTGCCTCTCGTTACCGGATTTCCTACCAATTTCGTGGCAGCAGCAGCAGCAGCAGCAAAAGCCTTTCCTCAAATCTTTCTTTTCTTTTTAAACGACGACAAATCCCTTTTTTCTAACAAGTGGAAAAATCCACCGCCTTCCACAATAAAACAAATCACAAATTAAAACCTATTTCAAATATTTCAAAGGAAAAATGTTTTGTTCAAACTAATTATTATTATTATTATTATTAGATTTCCATTGACAGATCAATTAACGTTGATTTTCAGGTTTTTTTTTTCGTTTGCTGATTTGTTTTTTTAAGTAGACCGAAAATTACGGTTGTTAATTAATTAAACCGATATTTGATTGTGCAATATTAATAATAATAATAATAATAATAATAAAATTAACACTAATATTTTTCCCTCTAATGATACCCGAAGGTTGCAAGTTCTTAAAGAAGGTAAAAGGAGGATGATAGACCATTTAAACTTATTAAACTAAACGAAGGTATGTGGAATTCGAGTTTGAAAACCTAATATCAAACCTGTTTTAAATACCTCGGGGGGGGGAGGGGGAAGGGAGGCATCAATGCAATGTCGTCAAGCCAAAGTAAAAAAATATTTTTCTAAAATACACGAGGAATTTTTTTTTTTTTTTTAAAGAAGATAAACCTATAAAAACCGCAACCGTTTAAGAATTTAAAATAAAAAACCGCACGCCTACAATTCATTTCAACGAAACATAGGGAAAAACTCCTTCCTCCCCCCCCTCCCCACAAAAAAAGAAAATAACTAGGAAAAACAAAAGCTACCTATTATGAAAACGCAACTTAATTCTTTTCTTTTTGTTTTTTTGAATTTTAAATCCAAAACGCGGGAAAAAAGATTTTCAATGAATCTCATTTCGAAGAAAACAAAAATGGCGGGGGAAACACACAGAGACAAAAAAAAAAATTTTTTTTTAAATACTTGAAAATGTCACCGACAACATGTAATTAACACTCATCGAAATCGAAAAGAAAATTTTCAGACGAAGGTTTTCCAACGAGATTTCAATTATTTCCTTCCTCCTTCCTTCCTTTCTTTCGATTGTTTCGAGATGTACAAATGCAATCTAACAAAAAATCTAATCGTACGATCCTGAACGTGGGGGGTCAAAATATTCAAAATTTAGAAATAAAAAAAAAACGTGGAAGGAGAAGATGAAATTAAATTAAATTTACCAACAATAAGTCAAATAATTCTCCATACGAAAAATGAAACCGATGACGAAATAATAATAATAATAAAATAATAAAGAATGGAACATTCTGGAAACGTTTGTTTGTAATCACACTACTACGTAATATATATATATTAAACGTTGTGCAATTATTTATTATTATTTCGGTCACATTCATCTAGTTAGTATTCGTACTGGATTTTTTAACATTTTTTTGTGACTTTAAATGATACCGAAATAGTTCCACAGAGTGTTACGTAATCCTCTTATATAATAATAATAAGTATTGACTAATCCAATAAAAATTTCGCAAATTTTCATTCTCAAGACGATTCGGGTGGTGGTGATACCCATCGAATTCCAGAACATTCTCACGTGTAAAAAAAAAAAAATCCGCAATTTTCTATTCGTTCGCCATCACGTCGTTTTTCGAATCGTAAGATTGAATTGAAATCTCATTGATTTAGTCATCAAGTCAATCCTCGTTTCATCCCTTTAAATTTTTTACCCCCTATTTCCTTTTTCCAACCCTCCTAATTCTCACTCTTTCGAAACCGTTCTCCTTTTTCCCCATTATTATTATCCAATAATTTTCGGTATCGTTCGTTCGTTCGTTCGTTCGTTTCTTCATTCATTCATTCATTCATTCATTCATTCATTCACTCACTCACTCATTCACTGACTGTTTATACCGATTTTTCGAAATTGAAGTAATTTTTCTGTCACTTACCGTGAATCGTCTGCACCAAATGCTCAACCATTTCATATCTCGGAGTTTTTTGCCGACCGGAAGTCGAAGTATGACATCTTCGTGATTATAACTTTTGAGTATGGGTGGATCCCTGATTAATATGAGAAAATATCATTAGCACACGTAAAATAATATCACGGGATTTTTTTTTTTTTTTATTCTGCTTTATTACCTTCCAGTGTAATTTTCCGGATGGGGTAAAATGATACCATCCGGGTTGGGCCGCGGAGTTTTACCCGTCCAAAAAAAAGCATCCGGAGCCGTGCCGTCGTACGTGAATCCTTTTATGAAAAGCGTGCTGTCGTCGACGGCATAAACAACTCCTTCTATATCGTGAGCATAACCTTCGAATTCACCCAAAAGTCTTCCATATTCTCGACTCGTACTCGTCGTGTTCCAAGCAGGGAATCCTAAATTTAAAAGGAAAAAAAAAAAAAAAAACAATCGATAATTATTCGCCATTTTACAAACGAGCAGAAGAAAATAAATACGTTTAAAAAGGTTTTTGCCCTTTCCTCGTATCGTAAATCGAGATAAACTTCATCATCTCTAAATGATGAATGAAGAAGAAGAAGAATTCATAAGTTACAAAATGGTTCATTAGGGTTTGAGTTATCCCGGAAGGGGGGGATGACACGAAAAGATCTCTCCGGAGAAAAGAGAGAGAAAGAGAGAGAGAGATAAAGGGATCGTTTAAATCGATCAAGTCCTCGACACAACTGACTTTTTTGCTACTTCGATTCTAACGAGATTTTATTAAAGATTTATCGTCATTCAATCGTCAACTCTGACAACAAGTTTTTTAACTTAAACGCGTTCGCCTCATTCTTATAAGTTTAATATGACTTTCATTGTCGTCAACTTGAACCACATTCATAAAAAAAGGAAAATTTTCCTTTTTTTTTTCAAAGGAAATCTCTCAAAGGAACTTTCTTTCATTGTTCGGTACATAAATTTTTTCCCTTACATCATCCAACCAACTATTTTTTAACAAAATCGAGTCTCCATTGCGTTTAAACGAACCTTTCGAAACGAATTCGATCATCGATATAATTATTTAAGGTTTACTAACCTAAATGTCACGCACGCACGCACGCACGCACCTAAATAATTAATTTTCTTTTCAAAAAAAAATAATAATTACGCGTCATTCTTTCTATTCCGTTGATCATTAACAAAACTTCCAAGGTAGTATTCGAAAGGTCAAGTCCTCACGCAACTTTTCTTATTTGATTTAAATAGTTCTCTTGATAAACAGCATCCGGTTTCAGGTTTTCCAAGGCGGCACAACTCTTTGATTTCGATTTAAATCACACTTTGACAAGCAAACATTTCGCACGGATTTTTCCTCGATGAGGATATCGGGGGGGTGGGTGTGGCAAGGGTTAGAAAAAAATACAAAAAAAGGAACGAATATATATAAGTGATTTAGACGACGGCATTATTACTTACAGCAAAAAAAGGAAAGCGAGAGAGAGAGAGAGAGAGAAAGGAGTGCAAGCAAAAACTAACGAGCGCAAATAAATTTTTATGTCACTGTCGCGAAAAGTGAATTTTTTTCTTTCTGCTACTACTACTTAATCTTCGTACATTTTCTCTCCTTTTTCTTCTTTTTCTTCTTTTTTTAAACTGTCAGAAGATTAAGTAAACGTTCGGTTAAATGAATATTTCAACGGTTAAAAAACGACAACTACAAACGTTTTTTTCAAAATCGATTAATTTATTATCATTATCATCATCACCATGGATGGATGAAACGTTTTATATAAATTGATAAAAACAAATACAAAAAAAAAAAAAAAAAATTAATTTCAAAATAAGACGTGGCAGAAACGGAAAATGAATCAAAGTGAAAATTACACCAATTTCGACTCTTTGTTAAGGGGAGGAAAACTGAAGAAAAAAAAAAATAATAATAATAATAATAATAATAATAATAAAAGGATGAGATTTTATTTTAATTTGGATAATGGATCTTATATTTCTATTGATTTTCTCCTTTTTTTTCTATCACTCTCTTTCTTTCTCTCTCTCTTTCCATTTAAATGTTTTTTCCGTGACGCTTGTCTTTCGCTCCCTTTTTTCCTTTTTTTTTTTTTCGAGTTGCATTTAAATCTGTCGTGAATTTAAATTTTACACACACACAAAAAGAAAAACCTATTAAAATTATTGCATGCTTTCTCCGTGAAACGATAAAAATAAACTTTTTGAGGGACATTTTAACGTTTTTTTTTTTTTTAACAAAAGAAAAAATCTCTCCTTTTTTTTCTCCAGCTTTTTCCAGAATTTTCCAGAATTTCTTTTTTATTATTTGGCTTATTATTAAACCATCGAAAAGATTTTTTAGTTTAACACGTCGAGGTTAAACGAATGAATATAATTAAGCATAACAATTTTTTTTAAACACCCACAAATTTCGCGCCAAGGTTTTTTCTCTCCGACACTTCCGGTATTTTATTTTCCGGGAAAATTTTTTCGTTCTTGGAAAAATACAAAAAAAAAAAAAAACGAGAGAGAGAGAGAGAGAGAGAGTTTAAAATCATTACAAAGTATTTATATTAATCTCTCTTTTTCTTTCAACCTTCATTCTCGGACTCGATTAATAATAATAATAAATTTACCATTCTTTCTTGTTTCCCTCCTCCCCTTCTTCCCTCCTTCCCCTCGCCATTTTCCTTCGAAGCCGGAAAAAGTTTTCTTTTAAAGAGAATTGTGAGAGATTTTTGGAGGTTTCGTAAAATGGAAAAAAAAAAAATCTCACATAATTTTAAATACATTAAGACGTACGTAATAAAAAAAATTTATTATTATTATTATTATTATTATTTTACCCGTGCCATTGATGATAATAATAATAATAATAATAATAATAATAAAAAGACATTAAAAACTATTTCCTACTCCTCCTCCACCTACAACATACGCCTTGTAAAATAATTTTTATTGCATGGGGGGGAAAAACCGCTGACAGGAGACTACAGATAAAAACCGGATCGAATCATAATGCCAGGAATATATACAGTAAGCTTAACTGTTTTCATCCCCCCAGAACCCACCAACCCACCCCTCCTTATTCCTTCGAACGTATTTTTTATTTAGGGGTTGAACCCCAATAGGGACAAAATAATAATCATTCTCAATCTCCCGCCCTCCCTCTAGTTTTTTTTTTTTCTTTTATTCTTTTACATTATTATCTCAACTCTTTTAAGGCACGTGTCTTTTTTTTTCTTTTTGATATGAAAAACGGGGGGTGGGGGGCACAAACGGATGCCATTAGCACATCCGATGAATTAAATTTTAAGAAATGACAAAAAGGAAAAAATAAAACGGAAATGACGTTCGAGGGTTCGTTCGGCAAAATTCTAATAAACGAAAAAAATTTTTTAAATGAGACAAAAAAAAAAAAAAAAAATTCTGATTGTGCCCCGTGAGAAAATTCCTATACCTGTATGTACCTGTCAACCTGTTTTGTAACGGCTTTCTTTTGTCTCCCCCGTCCCCTTCCCCCCATTTAAAAACGAAAATTTTCCTAGATTTAAATCGTGTAAACGATGAACGTGAACTTTTAAAAAATCATCGGACATTTTTTTTTCTTTTTTTCGGGGGGGGGGGAGGACGAGAGAAGAAAAAATCGAAAAAAACGAACTTTGGGAAGTGACCTGACCTTTGAACTTTGACACTATTGAAAATGGAAAAAATCACGACTTATTAAACGTTTTTTTTTTTAATTAATAAATTCGAATTTATTTACTCGAACTTGGTGTTAGATTTAAAAATGTGATTTTTCCATTTTTCCTTTTTCCTTTCCTTTTCCCGCCCAGGCTAAGTTTTCCTTTTTTTCCTTTTTTCTCCAAAAAAAAAAAAGAAAAGAGATTTTATATAAAAATGAGTTATTCCGGCTACTACGGCAAAGGATTTATACTTGGAAACAACAAGGATTTAAGAGGTCTTATAAGTGCTTTAACCGTTTAGTTTTCAATCCCTTCGATTTTCGGTTTATATGAAAAGGCTCGTCGACGGTTTCGGGTGCCAGGGAGGAAGAGAGAGAACGAGAGAGAGAGAGAGAGACAAAGAGAAAGAGAAAGAGAGAGAGAAAAATAAGATGAAAAAAAGAATACTTTTATGAGTCACAGGAGCAATCGTTTCTAATAGTTGGCAGGCAGCTGTCAGAATAAGATCGATTGTTTCAAATCATTTACTTTTAATTTCCTGCTTTTGACACTGTTTCAACTCGTCTAATTGATTCGAAAAAAAAAAAAAAAAAAAAATTCAACGAAAAAAATAAAAATAAATAAATAAATAAATATAAATTCCAATTTTTAAAACAAAAATCAAAACATTTTGAAAACGAAATCGATAAATCGATGAAGCAGATTATCAGTAACATTGGGGGGAAGGGGGGGAAATTTCGAAACGTTTTAAACGAAAAATGTCGATTTGGGGAGTTGTCGGGGCACTAGAAAAGTATTCCGGCTATAATATTTACGCAACGTTCGTTCGCGATTCTTATGACACTATTCGTCCACGTGTGTGTGTGTCTCTTTCTCTCTCACTCTCACTCTCTCTCCTCGGTTGAGTAATAAATATTTCATCAAAGTTAATTATTCGAAAAGAATTTTTTTTTTTTTGTTTTCCAATCGATCGATGGAATGGACATTACCAACCTTTGAAACAAAAAAAAAAAAAAAAAAAAAAGAGAAAAGAAAAGAAACAAATATAGGATTGCTAAAGACTTTACTCAAGTTGAAAAAATTATTTCAAGGGTGAATGAATTTTTTCAAAATCGATTCGCCCGTGAAAATTTTAATCTTTTCCTTTTTTCCTTTTTTTTTTTTCCTTTTTTTATTCTTTTTCGAATACGAACGAAATAAATTTAGCGAAGGAAAAAAAAACCCAGTTAAAAAAAAAAAAAAAAAAAACAAGACGTAACAAACTAGGAGAGTCTCAATGAGAAGGAAGGAGAACAGGGAGTGTGAGATTTATATGTAGGAAACGTAATATGAAGGTTATTACTATTATTATTATTATTATTATCATCGTGGAAATCGAGGAAAAACCGTTTCTGAATGTAATTGGTATCACACCTGACATATAAAAACTTATTACACGTGCTTTTCCTTAACAAAAAAAAAAAAAAAAAAAAAGAGAAAAAGTTTGTCATGCGTGTTGTTGTAAAGAACGAGTATTATGGGGAGGGGGAGGGGAAGGGGCTCTCTCTCTCTCTCTTTCTCTCGTTAAAAACCTGTACAAACACTTGTAAAAAATTTTTTTGTTTGTTTGTTTGTTGTTTCCATTCCCACGAGATTTTTTTTTTTCCCAAAAAATAACATACGCGAATTTTGATCGCACGTTAAATTAACCTAATAATGACGTCATTAAAATAAATAAAATTTTAAACAATTATCCTTATTATTATTATTATTATTATCGAAATAATAATAATAATAATTATGGCGACAATAAATTTTTTTTTCCATTAGCGCCATAATAATTTTTTCTCATTTTCGAATTTTATGCATTTGCAACGAAGTAAAATTTCCTTCACGCTCCTCCCCCTTCCCCTCTTTTTTTCATTATTATTATCATCATCATCATTTACTTAATTATACGTCGTCTTTCGAGAAATAAAATCTATCGTTTACGTTTATTTTTTTTCCCCCCATGGTGTCGCCATGACACACACACGCTCCCTCCCCCCTTGTTGACGACGACACAAGATGACCGGTTTTAATTCCAATTTTTCCACCCTCCCTTCTCGTTATCCATTTGATATCTCCTAACCATTTTTTTCGTAAACAATATTTATAATAAAAAAAAAATCGACAACCGACGATGACAAAGAGAGAAGGAAAGAAGAGGAAAACAGGAGGGGAGGGA